CACCTAGTGCCTCCGGTAAATTTCATTTCTCTCCAGTGACTAGATCAGGAATCGGAATACACTAGATGGCTTGCAAGAACCCCGGAAGTGCGAGTTCAGGCACCAGCCAATCAGCGAAGAGCCATACATTCTATGTTGGCAACGATTCCCGAGATCGTGGATCGTTCAGTGAATTTTATCAAAGGGAAAGATGTTATTGCCCTTCTTCCTACGAGATTTGGGAAAAGCTTAATATACCAGTTAGCGGCGCATTACATACGTCATGACCAAATACCAGCGACTGGTTAAATTTTAAAAAGTACCCATCTACCGTGGAGCGAACGAATTCTAACACTGCAAATCAGGCTAGTATTTACAGGCACTATGCTGCAATTACTTGTACAACATAAAAAATCTAAATCGCCCTAATCTTGCATGATAATTACAGCTACCTGTCTACTCTCCACCATCCAAAGACTATGTTATGTTGGGATGCTCACCCTAATTTGAGCCCTGCTTTACTCACAGCATCATTCTTGCTAACACAGCTACATTCTTTCCAACACTAAAAGAGTCTATTGTCTCTCTCCATCTTTAGTCTTCCCCTCTTCCCTCTGTTGGCAGTGGTCTCCTCCTCACCCCAACCCCATCCTCCCATCCCCCCTTCTCTCCTCATGGCCCGCGGTCAGGACACAAGATGGTCAGTGGTGTGTGCATGACGGGCTCAGATCCATGTCCATTGTTTTTCTTGGCTTTATGGAGACATATTGGTGTTACAAAGAATGGCTGATCCTCCTTCAAAGATCCAGAAAAAAAACCCCAAATCATTTATTTTCCCCACATTCCCGTCAGCTAGTGGCCGGAGGTGACTGTTTGAATGGCTGTATTGATTGGTCATGTTGATACGTAGAAATATATAACACAGGGGCTGCATGATGTTATGGGTATTGACCTGCACCCCCACCCACCCCTGCTATGTATGCATGTAACCAAGAAGGCAAGGTCATAGATACTTTCAAATCAGAATGCACTGGGTTATTATTTTATTCAGATAATACATTTTACAAAAGCTTAGACCCTTCTATATCAATATATGATATCTGGAACAATATATTCAGGGGCTCAGTATTTATCTTCTGTATTTTTATATGAATTTCTTTGCAGAAGTAGGGAGATTTGGGGTATTTTTTTTGTTTTAACACAATAATAATAAATATATTCTATGGCTAGTTATTGGTTCATACTGAAAAAAATTCTGCCTTTTAATCATAGTGTTTATTTAAAAAGGGTTCACTGGGATTATCTTGCATTATTCTTATTATATCAGCGGCATAAAGTAGTTTCAGTATTATCGTTTAACGCAATATCTCTCTCTAGCAATATATCGTGCTTCAGAAATCGTTATTGTGACAGGCTGATTGGATCTAAATGTCTTAAATATGTCTTTCATTTGACTTTTTACTGAATTTGAATGAGCTAAGGATGATAGGGATGTGATTTTTCCAGTTCTGATAAACGTAAAGAAAGTGAGAAGGACTCTTATCTAACGCCATATACTAATACCATAGGCTATTCACGGTATAGGCCAATAATGGATGTAATACTAATTGAATAATTGAAGATTGAAGATGTTTTGCAATAAATGTATAACATGTGTGTATAAAATAAAGTTGCAGTTTCCAGGGTCATATAAAAAATACTGAATCATTTATTTAGACTTATACTTAGACAGGCTTTATTGATCCACAAGGGAAATTATTTTACACTGTAGCTCACAGATTACATGAATAAAAATGTCCTAAGATATGTTTATCATATGTATCATAAACCCCATATAAATCAAAGTTTGAGGTGACTCTACTGAGTTGTCTCTATTTTTCCCATGAATACAAAGATGTCCTTGTGATTCTCTATACTTTTTCACAGTATCATCACCAAAGTATCTTGTTTGTGGCTACCTCTGTTTTTCCTCACTTTAAGCAACCAGTCAACTGTGTAAGTCATTTCTGTGGACTGGGCACAGAGCACACTGCAGATGGAGGTGTCACACTGGCTCCCAAACACAAACTGCTTTTGGAAAGTAATAGATGCTCTATGCTTCACTGTCTTTTACTAGAATAGGCGTCCCAAAAGGTCTTGCCTCAATCTGCTATCTGTATTTTTAGATTGTGTATACAGCTGGTTAAGAAGCAAGGATTCCTGACTCGAAAAACACTTCACTTTATGTTATTTTCCATGAAACACAAGACACAATCTGCAGTCCCTGTCTCTGGTCCAAAGTTTCTGCGTTCTTTCATTTGGATCCATTAAAGCAGCAGCTAAGCCTGGTTGTAGTCCTTGGCTTATGCTCTTGTATCACATTCCAGCCACCGGCAAAGAGTTTCTCAAAGTTATCTGGTGTTAGTAAAGCAGAGAAGTGTCCTCGCAAGAATTAGGAATATCTGCTTCCTCACACATACTATTTTTCGGGAGAAAGTAAGTAAATAAAGAAGAGTAAGTAAGTAAATATAGATGATAAAAGATAATACTGAAACAAATTTATGCCACAGACACAAAAAATCTTGAGATACTTTGATTGCACCTGTCAAGTTATTAATGCAACCTTTTATAACTTGAATCTACTTAAATACTTTTCTCACCAGTGCAAAGAATATGTACACATGATAAATACTGACCCCAAAAAATATAACAATAAGTCAGTATAATATTTATTGTGACAGGCCTACAAATGAGGTCTCTACTTTATATCTTCTACCTACATTTATTGCAAAATGTCAGGAAATATTTATTATGAATACTATTATTCTAATCTATATTGTCTATTATAGATTGTAGAGTGGCTAGCACCTTTCTATGTTGGAAGCTGCCCCATCGGCAATGAAGGATGGGAAGGACAAGTTTCTCTACAAGGTTAATAAAGTGTAACTTAACCCTAATTTATTTTAACTACTATTACGCTTTTATTGCCAGTTAATAAAACGTTACTTATCAATGGACCAAGAAAGATTCCATATGATCAGAACAGATCATTTTGCTCAGGTGACAGAGAACTCACCCCTGAACTAGAAGATTACTGGATTAATTATCATTTTGGATCATTAGGGATCAGTAGTTCAAAGTAAACATGATTCATCATCATTTCCGCAAAAATGTACATCAGAGTGACTGAACTTGTTGCATTATCAAAGCTTACAATGGGCAGAAAATCTTGAAGGGCACATTATTATGGTTCTCAGATGTGGACAAGCAACCGATGATTTGCTGTTAATTATTTATGGTTAATTTCTCATTATCCACAATTGGATGTTGTTAGCTGTGGATGTTGTGTCCCCACCATAAATAGATGTGAAGGCTAAAAGAGTAGGTTGCTATGGCGACACAGTGCTGTGGCAGCCGGTAATTATTCCGGTTTAAGTGCCAAAAGAGACACTGGCTCTCAGGCGGGAGCGACCACGTGGTTCGGCGACTGACAGAGAGACCTGGGCGGAAACAGTTTGAGTTATGTTCTGAAATCTAGTCAATACATATGCTACATGATGACTCACTGGCTCACCATGACTTACGAAACCAGAACTACACTAGGTACAGAATAATGTAAAAACAAACTATTAAATAGGTCCAAACCAAACCAAATTAAAACAAAATCAAGGAACTAGGAGCTGTAAGCTTTATACCAAGTAGAACTGTACAGCTATAAGCTACTGGCTCCAGATTGGAACTATACCACAGATCTAGACTAGATCCAAACCAGGACTATATCAGAACTAAACTAGACCCAAGATTAAACCAAAAGGACAAAGAAGGAAATTAACCAAAACTGCAGGGCTATAGGCTGTTCTTGGTCAGGGGTGTAGTGGGTGTGGGGTACGCCGTCCACCCACTTCTCTCGACGTGAGATATAAAAAAATAACAAATATAAAATAGACTAGAACTTAAATGTCAAACCTGAGTTATTGGTGGAAACAACCTGCAAAGGGAAAAACCAGGACTGAACCAGGACTAAAACAGGACTAAACCAGAACTGAACCAGGACTGAAAGTCAGGATGTGCCTGGAGGTCAGGTGACCGCAGGAAAAAGGACCGGTGCAGAGCTCCGAGCTGGTTTAGTCCTGGTTCAGTCGTGGGCACGTGTTGTCGCTTATGATTTATGTTCTGTAGGTGATTATGAATGCCATTAATGTTAATAACATGATCCTGCATCATTTTGAGTAAAAAAACATCAAATATTACAGATTTTTACTGCACTGGCGCCTTTATGTTTGTACTAAAAAATCGCCACTACACCACCGGTCTCAAATTACACATCAAAAGACTTGATCCAAATCAGGCCTATCCCAGGACTAAACTATGACTAGAGCCAAGTCAATGGGAAGATCTAAGTCAAGGAATGATCCCCAAACAGCCTTCTACATGACTACCAAGTATATAGTATAAAAACTGCAGGGCCATAGGATACTTGGTCTGGATTATACACCAAAAGACTTTAATTCTAGGTGCGTTCACACTGATCCTGGTCTGGTCCACATTTGAGCCTAGTTAGATGAAGCAGGCCTGATTAGTCCTGGTTTATGTATGCAAGTGTGTGAATGCAATCTTAATCTGAACCAAGACTATCCAGGACTAAACTCTGTGCAAGGTTTATTCAAAAAACTGAACTGTGTTGGAATAACCAGGGTTACATTTGGACTTAACAAGACCATACCATCTACTCAAATAAACGCTAATCAAGAAAGTAGAGAAAACCACTGCCCTAAAGGAGGAAGACATTTTTTATCATATCTGTATGATCTCAGTTACGTAGTCAATAGATAAATAATACAGGCATGGTGTCTTTGTGCAGTGTGCTCTAGACATCAGGTTGCTGTCTGCTGTATATTTTACTATGCTGTTTTTAAAAATAACAATCCCCTCACAGCCCTCCCACCCGTGCCACCATCCACAGATCATATTCAGCTCAACTCTGCGTCCCTTCTCCTCACAAGTCTAATCCTACCTTCTCATTTTTATCTGCTCTCTTCCAGGCAAGGCTGACCCCACTAATCATCATCTGAGGTGTCAAGGTAAGGCTATGTCCTCTTCCCACGGACCCATAGCAACACCGGTGTTTTATATCCGGGCAGGGAAGCACAATCAGGAGTCTAGGAATTCCACTGTGTCCTTTGAAGAAGAGGAAGTTGAATTTGGCTCAAGGTGCTCGTGAAACTTGAGAAGGGCTCCCACACTCCCAAGTCACATCAGCATAGACCAGCTACAAGGCACCAAGGAGGTTTTTCACTGTTTTTGGAGGAGAGACACTTCTGCTGTGTACAAACATGGCTCCCGGGATGGCTCATTAGAATAGACAGGGGAAGAGGAGTTATTGGCACGTTAACATTTTGTACGCTATGCACTGACATCAACTCTGCACCCATGTAAACAAATTAGCAACCAACTCAAATCAGACATTCCAGTTATGGGGTAAATGCTCTTTATACGAAGATACATACTTACATACTTTTCACATATACTGCATAAGTTTGAAAGGATTTTGAAGAAATAAGATTACAATATTGCATTAAATTGTTACTGGCAGATGCACCTAATATACAAATTATATAGTAAAGGAATACACTTATTTGACTGGAAAAAGAGCATTGTAACTCCTAGACTCCTATATCATTCGTCATATGGTCAATGTCACTTTTTTTTTTTTTTTTTTTTGACCTTTACATTTGAATATATAAATTGAGTGATGTGTTATCTTTCTCACCAACTAGAAAATGCAGGCAAAATTACTGTTACATAACATAATCCGGGCATTGCAGTATTGTTTTGCTGCCTGCTTAGAAAAGATGTCCAAATGCCCTTGTTACAGCTGGTGGATTTTATATAAAGTTTGTAGGAGTTTTTTTCAAACGCCTGCCTGCTGCCTTTCCGAGCGTCACTCACCTGTAAATAAAAGTAGATAACATCAGGGGAGCGATCAATTTTGTAGTGAAAGCCTGAAAAGTTTGGTGTTGAAGCAGAGACGTGAGGGGAGTGCTTATGCTGCGGGGGTCGCTGCAGCAGACCAGGCACTGCACTGCGCCGCGTCTTGCTCCACACTGCCACCTGCTGCACAGACTTGGAATAGGCTTTGGAACTGCACAGAATTTTGTATCGGGGTGTATTTGTGAGTTTTTCAAGGGATAATGATTGAAGACTAAATTATTATATTATTATACCAACACTGATTTATTTTTTGTTGGCCGACGTGTTCTTGTCTTTGCACCATAGCTATGTCAGGGAAAATTAAATGAGTGAAATATTTACTTTCAACATTCATTAAGGGACACAATTTTTTATGTTTTCAGAAATTTGCAATACAGCAAATCTAGATATTTTTTATGCTAATTATTTTTGCCTTTGTCACAAAAAAGTTAATTATCATCTTTATGTCTTAGTATTGAACTTCATTTTGTATATAATTTGGATATACTCAAGTTAAGGGTCTTGTGTTATGCTAATTGACTCTTGTGAGCTTTTAGCCATTTTATAATGCTAGCTTGTCAAAAACATACTCAGAGTTGTGTTTTGCTTCATGCACACATTTGAGTAATCCTTTATTAGCTATTAGTCTGTGTACATCCCACGGTCAAAATGCTCTGTTCCACCTTGTTATATCATGTCATCTTAATAGCTACTTTTTACCTTTTATTCACCAGAGATTGGTCATTTAGGGCTGAAATCATCCAAAGGATTGTAGTGAAGGTTTATGGAGTTCAAAAACATAGTGGAGCGCTTCCTGTATTACCAGTCTCTCCATGGCCGAGCATTAAAGTACATCTGTGACATTTTAGTGCCATATGAACCATCTCGCACACTGAGGAGCTCAGGGACTGGCCTCCTGCTGGTGCCCAGAGTCAGGACTAAACACGGGGAGTCAGCGTTCCAGATTCATTCAGCTAAAACCTGGAACAGTCATCCTGTACATGTGAGAGAGGCCTCTGTTTTGATGCTGTTTAAATCCAGGCTCAAAATGGTTTTGTTGTGCATATGACAGAAAGGTTTTCATTTTTCATTCTGCTCTCTTCTCTCTCATTTAATGTCTCTCTCTCTTTTTGATTTTATGATGACTATTTATGTTTTTGTTTGATTGTATTGTGATTGTAATGTATTTCTTATTCTGTAAAGCACTTTGAATTACTTTGTGTACGAATTGTGCTATACAAAAAAAACTTGTCTTGCCTTGCCTATTATATGACATCACAAGGTGGAACAGAGTGTTTTCTGTTTGAACTTTTAAATATGCAGGATTTGTGTGTTAAACATGTGTGAATGAAACAAAACACAACTCCAACAACATTATAACACAGATCAGAAAACAGCATAGTATGGAACCTTTAATACATCTTATTTTGAATATTTAAACTACATTTATATATCAAAATATTATGATACTTCTTCTAACTATGTATTTGCATTTTCTTTGTGTGTTACGGCAGCCCTCACTCCTCCGATGTCCGGCCCCTCCTCAGTGTGATCTCCATGGCTCCGGTGCTGAGTGGGGTGTGGTGGGGGCCTGAGGCGGGGGTGGTGGGCTCTGGGGCAGCGGTGGCCAGTGGAGTGGGGGTCCTGGTGGGCAGTGAGCAGATCGTACTGGTCTGTACCCTCAGTGGACTCACCGTTCTTCTGCTGGTGTCTGTGCTTCTGCTGCTCTGTGCCAGCTGCCAAGGGTGAGACAGAGCTCCCACACTGTAAATTTAACATTACATAAGGATTAGCAACCAGTTGTTTACTGGCAAATTATGTTTACAGGAATACATAACTTGATACTTAAAATTTAAAAACTTAAAAGTTAAGTTAAAATAATAAGTGTAAATACACACATGGGTAACAGTTGCCAAGTGAGTAGTATATGAGTATGTGAGTAGTGTGCTCAACTTGCAATAATAGACTTGTTTGTACTTTTCGTTGAATTCTTATATTACATTTAATTAAATATTTGAGTTTTGACCATTTGGCACATTTCATTGTTTTGGTTCAATTTTCAAGTAACAATCATGCAAAACAGACAAAATAGTATATTGTTGTGTTTGTGTGTAAACGTCAGTATGTTCACAATGTTTGTAGTATCGTGTATTGTAGTAGTGGTTAGAGTGGTGAGTTATTCTAACCACCTTTGGTCTATATTTCTCGGAAAGGCTTTCAAAAGTTTGAATTGCCTGGAGAGCGGTGCACATGTTTCCTGGCATTATGTCGGAATATGATCTACTGAAGGAAAGGGCCGCACTGTGTTACATTGATGAAAATAGTCTGAAACCCACAAAAGAGCATTCATTCTAGGTGTGGTGACAATGGGCATGTAGAGTGTGTCTAATGAGTCATATCCCACTTACATATGTGTCATATGTCAACAATTCAGCCGTAAAAATGAAATTGTTATGCACAGACTTCAAATCTTTAAAGCCCTCAAAGTTGTTATGATCCAGACTTAGAAAGAAATTACCTTCAGATTAAAATCAAACTTGCAGTACTAACATAATTTTACATTTTTACTGGAACTGCAATTAAATTTTTTCATAACCCAATCTAATTCAAAATAACAAAGTTAACCAAAGACTCGCAATGATACTGGTTTCATTTCTATTTGACACTAGAATACAATAACAAATAAAATATCATTAATGTTTTACCTGTAAGGCTGTTCTGTCATATTGTGGCCATCTATTTCTAACTGTTAATGCTGGTGGCTTTGTCTTGTGTATTTCAGGCAGAAGAAAACAGCCTCTTCTCATTCTGCAGGGGACCAAGAAAACCTTGTGAATGGAGGAGTAAGTTCATGAAAACCAAAACCTACTATAGACTTACTGTACTATCACCATGGCCTCATATATAGCCAATATAACACATGATCTTTCTTTGGGCTTTACTATTTTGAGATGGTCTCAGTATCAGAGAGAGTAGTGATTTACATACTGATTTGATATTTGTCCAACAGATGTCAGGCATTCCTTCCTTTTCAGGTTTTTGAGCTTGGCACAGTTTTGTAAGCCCATGTGCGTGAATTCAAACATAATTTAGTGTCTATTCACAAATACTGTAGCTCTTCTTTTTCTACACCATGGTAAACTCAAGGCCTTCTCTTGCAATTATAAACTGCTATAATGATAATTCTTCAGTTATAAAGCAACATTTAAGTGTGACAAATAAGCACCTTTCAGCCACTAAATAACATCCTCTTGCTGTCCCACACTATGCCTTCTTCAGTGCAGTGTCCTCACAGCCTCAGGGTGTGATGGATTGTTCCTTGTAACCTTTTAGCAGTCGGCAGATTCAGAGGTGTTCGGACAGTAGCAGGACAGGCCCATTCAAAAGATGGACAGTGTCACAGGTTGACAGGTTAAATGGGGTTTTTGTCTTTGTGGATGAGAATATTGACCCCTAATGTATTTCACAATCGCTCCAGTGTTCATGTAACAACAATAAAAGAACAAATCATATCTAGCATACAGCTTGGCATAACACTTACTTACTTGTGTAAGTAAGAATTATTTTTACCAGATTTTTCTGTTTTGCGTAATCTCCTTAAAAAAGAAATGGTTACAAAATAGTTAAAAGATTACATCATTGATTATAAAAGACTTGAGTAGAAGTGGCCACTAGGTGGAGTTGTGGAGCTGCCATGGCGATCCTAAATGACCATTCTCAGGAGAAAAACAACAGTCCAGTCTTGAACAAAGGGGACTTTAACTTGATTATCAAGTCTTTACAGGGAGCTGTTGAGACATACAGTCACGATGTAGTGATTTTATGATATACCTATACAGTATATGTAGGTTTCATATTTCTTTACCTTCCTAACTATAAGCATACAAATAAACTATAACACTTTTTATAGAAACTGATGAAGTCAGGGATTTATTGTGCTAGAAGTAAAATTACTCATAGTTTAATTAAGATGCATAATACATATGTACAGTATAATGAGATGAAAATGCAGTCCAATTTTAAAGGAAGGAAAAGGAAAGGTACAGAAGCAACTCTGCAATTGGAAAGAAAATATAACTCAAAAACATTCTTTGTGTGCTCTTGTGTTCTGTTGCAGGTGTCAGAGCGGGACACTATCAGCCAATCAGCAGACAGTCCAGCCACAGACTTAGGGGTCAGCAGCTCACACAATGGACCTCTAACAAGCGGTACAAGTGAGTGCTCTGAGCAACACTGTTCATAAGGCTGCAGGTCTGGAAGATGTTTTTGCCTATTTAGAAAAATATTTACACAAATCCAGCATAACATTATGACCTTGGACGGATAGAGTGAAAAATACACATTATCCTCTCACCTGTTGGTGAGTGAGATGTATTGAACTGTGAGGAAATTGCAAATGTTTTCTCAAAGTTGATGTTAGAAGACAGACAAATTATAAAGGTTTGAGTTTTACAAGTTTATGTAAAGTTACGTTGGAAAAACAAGTGGATCTGCCTGTAGCTGTGGTCATAATGTTATGTCAGATCAGAGCAAAAAAAAGCCTTATGAAATTCATTAAACAACAGACTTAAAGATGCACTGTGAAACATTTCTAGTGGAGGGTCCCCCACATGCTTATCTCCATGGAAGTGTTATTGCTTTGTCTAGAATGTTCCATAGTATAGATTAAACGCATTTATCACAAAGGAGACAAGCAGGTTACAGCACTACATTACATTACATTTCAGATCTGTGGAGAGTTGTCCCTATTCACAGAAGGAATTATTGTATTTTTGAGCAACAGAAATGCCTGTAATGAAGAAATGCTAGAAGGATATGTTTAATACCTTTAACATCTCCATGTAGAAAAGTAGGTGGACCCCCCCACCAGAAAAGTTACAGTGCACCTTTATAACCTCTATTGCCCATAATAATCATATATTCCTTTCTCCTCCAGTTCTGACGGACACACAGGATCTTAGTCCCCAACCTTCAGAGGAACTGCTGTCCAGCCAATCAGAACTCAGGTCCTCCAAGTGTCCCCAGGACCGGGAGCTGCCCAGTATCCCTCCCACCAGTGCCCTTATCGGGGACGGACCTCCAGCCTCTGGGGACAGCACCTATGAGGTCAGCCCTGACGCCCACATCAGCACATCTGCACAGCTCTGTATTTAAGTGGATTAGTTAATTTACTGTGCGGCTCTGGAGTTACGGGGTAGAAGAATAAAAAAATCAATTAGTTTAGTGAGCAAAGGTGGTATAATGGTTCACTCTGAGAAATAAAGTATGCACTACATATTTCAGTGACATAATGTCCCAACTGTCAACTTTAACTATTTTTATATTATATCTTTTCATCCTTTTTGGTTTCACATTTTATGGTTCTTAGATAAAATATATTTATAGACAAATGACACATCGTAACTACATTTGAACTAACTAAGAAACTAAAGTTAAACTGTATCTTAAAAGAACACTGCGTAACTTTTCTTGGGGTACTCCACATGTAAGCCTCCATATAGATGTACTTAACTGCTCACCCTGGAATGTTTCACAGTATGGCATTAAAATGATCTTGCTCCATGGAGACAAGCAAGCCAAGGTACAGTTGGTGGACAGGCGAGCTCGTTCACATATTCTGAACAACAGAATAATCTCTAATAAAACAAAGGCTGAATAGACTTTTGATGCCATACTGTGGAACATACCAGGCACAGCAAGCATATCTTCCTAAAGACAAAAAGAAAAGTTACACAATGCACCTTTAGATAACTATAAAGTACTGAGAAATAACCCACACAGACACAACCTACAGTAGACAGGATGGTACAACTAAACACAATAGAATCATCGTTTTTCATCTCGCTCTCAGGTTGTGAAAGAGATTGCGCCCACCTCCAGAGACGTCAGCGTGGAAGACTCACTTTATGAAACGGTCAAAGAACTCAAAGAGCCTCCTCTCCAGCTGGGAATCCCCAATGGTACAACTCATTTAACCCGGGACGAGCCCCCACACCCCCCTCCCCCCACCAGCCTTCTCAACGGACACCCCAGCCCCTGCACTCCTGAACGGGGGCCCCTGTGCACGGGGGTGGAGTACGCCTCTGTGGACCTGAGGAAGAAGAGCCGGCACAGCGCTGATATGGAAGCGAAGAGGCGCTCAGATAACCATGCGACTGCTCCTGTTCAAAAAGAGGAGGAGGATCTGCCCCCACCTGTCCCAGAGAAGGTCCTGGATGAGAACGATAACCAGCCTGTAGTGGTGAACGGGCTGATGGGGGCGGGGCAACACAATGGAGAGGTGAGGCGATGTATCCATGGTCACACCTGTAGCTACGTGTATTACAATAGGAGAGGCCAACAATAAGAGTATAAAAAACAACCCTATACTGTATATACAACTTTACAATTGACTTTACACAGAAAAATTGTCACCCCTCGCTCTATAACTGCTGCAGTGAGCCTCGTAATTTTGGTCGTAAAATGTTCATATTAACTCACTGCACATTATTCGGGTTTATTTTAGTTTGCTATTTTGTCCGTGAATACATTATTGTTCCTAATATGGAACTTGACTCCATATTTGCTACTATAAGTGTTAGCATTGTGAGCTTCACTTGAGTGGAACCGAGCGCTATGGGTGACGTCACACTCCCTTAAAGTCCACTTCTTTATACAGTTTATGGAAACAAATGAACTGATTTTTATGTTGAGGACTGCCACCTGCATAGCTCCATGGTTAAATGGATCTATCTAGCATTTCTATATTTTCTGATACCTTAAAAACATGCTTTCTTATTCTAAGTGTCTCTCTATACATCTTTAACTTGGTAGCGTCACCTATGTGTTTCCAAAAGTGCCATACTGTGGAGCATTCTAGTCAAACTGTAACATCACCTAGGAGAAAAACTGTTTAAGCAACATAAAACACATGTTTGTCTTTTCCACCATAACTGCTCCATGTACACCTCAGTCCACAATCCCGTACTGAAAACATCATTAGGCAGTAATTAATCAGCTCTTAACAGCATTACTTCCAGTTGTCTTTTGTAATTGTAAACATACAAACATTGTTTATTGTCCTCTTGTTTCACAGCTTGAAGATAATGAGATGACGGTTTACATCTGTTAAAAAATAAGTCTTCTCAGTCAATAAACCTGAGTGGATAGTTGTCCAAAATTTAGCCTTATACCTCAAAAATAACTACTTTCCAAGTTACACATTTCATACTTTAAATGTCCTTTAATATACAGAATTTACTATTGTGAGCTTTTAGTCATGTTAGAATATTGTTACTTCATTGAAAACATACCCAGAACTGTGTTTTGTTTTGTTCACTCATGTTTGAGTAATCCTTTATTATTCACCTGTCTATATCTGCAAAGCTCAAAATGTTCTGTTCCACCTTTTGAAGTTATGATGCTTTAGTTTTAGTTTCAGTTTCAGTTCAGGTTAACAGCTACCTTGAACCTTTTGTTTAGACAATATGGAGCACTTTTCTGTATTACCACATGACACAAGGTGGAACAGAGCGTTTTCTGTTTGAGAGAAGAACTCAAATATGCAGGGTGTGCATGTATTTGTCATGAAACAAAACATAACTCCAGGTATGTTTGTGATGAGAAAACAACATTACAACATAGATCAGACACTAGAGTATGGGCCCTTTAATGTTAATGTGAATTCCCAGAGTCAGATGTTGCCCGCTCTTATTCTGTTGTTATTGTTGCTGTTGTGTTTGAGTAGCATCTTAGCAAAGAAAACCAAGAGTCAAACAAAGGTCTTTACCACTTGGCATTGAAAAATTGCCATAAAAGCTTGGTTCGTCGCCCCTGAGAGCTTCTTTAATGGTTGTGCCCAGGTTGATTTGTCCAGTTGTCTTTTAGTGCGCACCGTAATCTTGTTAGAATAGATTGCATACAGCTCTAATGTAGCTTAACTCTGCTGTTATTGATAACCATGTTGTGGTGAGCATCCATTGTGTTGGCGAGGCTTGTATAAAATAAGTAATGCGATGACAGGTGGAATTAATGGTATCTGCTTTAGGAAATATCTTGTGCTCATGTAAGCTCTGGCTTGATCAGTTAGTACATGGCTGTGAATTAGAGTGTATTTATCATCTAAATTATTTTCCAAATCACAGTATGTTTAATCGATCAATCAAGTGTTTTTGTACATGTTTTTCTATGCTACCTGGGGTGCTTGACTCACTGCTGGCTTCTGACTATATGCAGGTATATTACAGGTGATTAGAGCTTGGTAATACATCAAATTATCAATGATATTGTGAATGTTGGTTTGAAGGTATACAAAATATTGAGTATATCACTTTTTAAAAAATGATTACCAGATGCTTTCAAAAAAGAGCTGATAAAATATTTTAAAAATTTAAATATTTTTAAAATGAAAATAGGCATTTATTGCCATTTCAAAAATATACTGAAATATTATTTTTTGTTTATATCATCCACTCCTATAAGTGACATAATGCTTACACCATTATATTTTACTTAAACATATCTGGACATGTACTCAGATAAGAATAGTATTGATAACACTGGCACCAGTCTACTGAAGTTGACACTAGCAAAAATATTCATATCTAACAGGCTATGCTGGTTTTAAAAGTTAAAGTAAAAAGCTAAAGTTAAAGCTTTTATTCCATTATGTTGGTAATAAGTTTTCTCCTCACTGTAAATGAACCTATAGGTCAGTGGGTGCTGTAAAACTCGACTGGATGGTGGACAAAAACACAGGCTGACATCTCTCCCACACATTAGCTCTGCCGGCTTCAGGCAGACTGACAGTTCGAGGAGGGTACAATTTGGAGAGTAAGAGGAGCGAGTGTGGGAGTGAAGAGGGGAATGACAATAGAGCTGGAGAGAGGAGAGAGCCGTGCTAATAGATGGAGCAGATAGGAGGCTCAAGGGTCCAAGTGCTACAAGGAACAAGACACCAAAGACGGACATACAAATTACTATCAGGGTTTGTAAAGTGAGATAGTCCATAGAAAGTGGCTAAAGAATCCAAGAAGTATTTACATTGCTTTTACTTGTAATGTATTTTGTACAGAAAAATGAGAAGAAGGTAACAGGAATAAATAAAGGACTCTGCATAAAAATTTTTCACAACTATATAATGCTCTTTAACACTGATTCTGTAGTAAAGTGTGCAAATGTGTCGTGTTCATGATTTCACCAAGAGCGGAAGAACTGATATGGGTTAGACATGTTCAGAGACGGCATAGTAGCTATAGAAGTGTTAAAGGATTCCAACTTTAGGGCAGTCAAGAGGAAGAGCAAAGAAAGTGTGGTGAAGTCCCTGCCACCTGGAGAATGCCCAGTCTCTTGTGATCTATGAAGCAAAGCAGGGCCGGGCCTGGTTAGTGTTGGGATGGGAGACCTCCGGGAATATTAGGAAGTCAGATAGCAGTGACTCTAGAGCATGCTGCCTTTGTTGCCTTGGGCAAGACACATCACCCATCTTGCCTATGTATCAGTGTAGTGTGTGAGTGATTGGCGGTGGCCGATGATACAGATTGGGAGCCTCACTTCCATCAGTGTGTCCCAGGACAGCTGTGGCTACAATAGTATCTTACCACCACTTAGTATAAACTGCATTAATAATGCAGTGCGAAGTGCTGTGGGTATCTGAAAGATGAAAGACACTCTATAAGTCTAAAGCGTTATTAAACTATAGTACAGTAAATGAAACAGACATTTTTCTGTGCAAGTTCCCTTGTCTTATTATCCTTGTAGTAATCCCATATTTTAATGTTGTCTGTATCAGTCCATTACCCCATGCATAATTATGCCATTTGATACATAGAGAACAGCAGTGAGACCTTTATCAAAGTCTTACAAAGAGCAAAATATGACGCCATTACTAAGTAATACATCCCCTGAGCCAACTGTAGACTGTATATTCAGTTTATCCTACACCTCTCATTAGAACATACTGTAAGTCCATTGTGCATTTACAAGTCCATTCATTCTTGGCCTGCTTTGTTGTTTCTTCCTTTGTCTTCTCTTCCAGTCACTTTCTTCTTCCTCTCTCATCCCTCTTTCCTTTTGTCTTCACCGCTGTAGCCAATTAGTTAATCAGTACAGTTCATTTGAGCAGCCGGTGAGTCCAGCCTCTGACCTGCTGCCTATGATGAAATTTCCTAAATTACCTTTCCCATGTGCAACACCCCTCATACAAACAATGTTATATACCAAAATAAATGGACACTCATATAAAGCAGGCATGGTGGTATGTCTAGTCAGCAGTAATTCAGATTTCTTGCATTTTCCTCCATCCCCCATGTATACAGACGTGTGTGTTTACATATATCTTTACATATAGAGGCTCCCCCAGGCTGATTTAAGGTTAACTCTGAGTGTTGGTGCACTCCCCGTGGTTTACGCCTGTGGTATGACCAGGAGTCGTGGGGTGATTTGTCTTGTCAAAACCAGCCACGTGTGTTATGTTTTAATGTGTGCGTGTGTGTGTGTCTGTGTGTCTGTGTGTGTGTGTGTGAGAGGGGAGAGGAGACCAGCTGGCCACCATCACCATGACAGTTAGTCTGGCTCCATGATGGATGATATAAGCTATGGTAACTCTCTTTTGGCCTCATCCATACACGCACTCTCCTTCTATGTAAATCTTGTAATTCCCTCAAGTATAGGCTCCGTAAATGTTTCTCATAAAGACAAAGAACAGTTTTTCCCCCCCTATACATATGCAATGTTTTTTCTGTGACCTTTTTGTCCCATGTGGGGAGAGTAAGCAAAAATTGTATTAGAGTATTTTAATGTAAAACAAAGAAGGGGCAACAAATATATGCAATGTTCAAAGCCAGATAGTTTCTGCTAAGTCCCGGATTCATGTTTTAAATTTTTTGTTAATTGCGTCCTAACTGAGCACCGCCACTAAGGAATTATTCTGTTGTTTATTGTTTATTTTCACCTGATGCCCTGTCGCAAAAGTAACAGTTATAATGCAAATTTAAGTTTTCAAGTAGAAATCTCATCTATGGAAAACAACAACAAAGCAGGAATCAAGAAGGCACAAAACACCTGCTCCCACTGGGTTGCATATAAGCTAATTATGCCAAAAAGAGCTATTTTGCAATAAGAGTAGAGTAAAATGTGAAAATGCACTGTAAATGTCACCTATAGTAAACATGCTTCACTGGCACCACCTCTGATGTATTCTGGGCACATATAGATTTACCATACTGTCATAAACGAGGTAACACTTGTTTGCAATCATGTGACGCTGTGTGTCGCCTGTGGGCTTCTCTAATGTGCCGTGCAGGAAATGAATTTGACCTCGCCACTGGGCTGCTGGGAAAACCACAGGGGACAGAGCCAGGTACAGACTCAGATATTCCACATGTCAGCACAGTTGAGCTTCTGCCAATGCTCCTCTGATGTTCATTTAAATACTTTATACTTAATGTGTTACATACTTGGCTTATCCAGTACTTGTTTGACAACTAGAAACCTTTAAGGTCACATAACTGTACAATTCTGTAGAATGGTGAAAGATCATCCACATTAATATTTAATGGTACACTAGGTAACTTTTCAGGAGAGTCCACAAATGACTTTAGTCCATGGAGACCAGCAAGTGGAAGACCCTCCACCAAAAAGTTCCATAATGCACCATTAAGACATATTTTTCTAGGATTTAGACCATGTCTAATTATTTCCTGATGCAATTCCACAGCTGTCAAAATGCATCAAATACAGATGTTTTTATTTTCCCAAATTACTCTGCATACTGAATAATAGTTATGCAAAGGAATATAGATAGTCCATCCTTAATGTCTTAATTGTGTTGAAATTTCCAATATTTTAGAAGGTTGCAAAGGTCATCCTCGATCACCCTTTCCAGTATAATTATCCTAAGCATTTCACTGCCTCATATCAATGAAGGCTCTGACAGTATATTTAATAAGGCACATTATGTATTGAGTTATGAGACATAATTTCAGCTGGCTTCAATATGCTGTACATTCTTAGCATATCTATAATCTTGCTCGAGGTTGTTTATGAAATCGACTGCTGCAAAGGTAGATAATGTGAGTTTATGAATTTAAATATGAGACTGTCTGGGCAGACGTCAGAGTGAGTGACACCTTGACACCTGAGTCGTCCATCTTGTGACCGTGACAGTAATCTGCTTACTGTCAAAGTCCTGCATGTCTTTGTCTGGCCTACGCACACATTAACACTATCCTATAATCTCACACATAAACACACAGGTCACATGGTCCCACTATATTAACTCAGGTAATGTCTTGATGTAAAGGGAAAGTGGCCAGAGATTGTGGACCATGCCATTTTCTAATAGTAAATAAATGGATGCCATAGAATTTACATAATGACTTAATGGTTGGTAAAAGATTGGAATTTATTTACAGATAAAATAGCAAAATAAAAACAGCAGGATCATGTAGAGTGGGTTAATATGAACATTTTAAGACCAAAGTGACTCTCACTGCAGCAGTTACAGAGAGAGAGGTGACAATTTTTCAATGCAAAATCAATTGAAAGCAAAGTCAGTGGAGATGGAAGCTCCATGGTCATTTCTTATTTGGAATCCGGCGGCTAGAGGGTTAGCTATGTCCATTTAAATAAACATTCTTTGGTCATGATAGAAAATTAGCAAATCATACGCCAGAAATTCAACCCAAAATATCCATAGACATATAGTAAATACTGCCAAGCAAATAGAAAAAGCAGACAAAAAAAAAAAAAAAAAGCGAATGTGATGTGTATAATTAAAGAGTCATTTGTACATGATTATGTAAAGTGTGTTGCTGCTCTTACTTATGAAAAACACAAAAAGCAACCGAGCATTAGGATCACCCGCCACCTCTAATGAGCAACAGATTGGATTACCCGTAGGCAACTGAGAGGCTGAGACAATCCCTAAATTAGGGGTCTCAAACCTTTTTCCTCTGGTGAGCTGCCTTTACAAAACAAAAGTGTGAGAGAACTACCAATTTTAGAGATTGCAAGGAATTGAATATATATAAAGGAGGGATGGGGTACAGCTGAATACCCATAAAACATAAACCATTATTCATTTAGTGTAGTGCACAAAGTTAGCATCAAAGTAAAAGATGTACAATGGTAATTAATCAGATGTTAAGCACAATTCGTATAATTCGCAAATCTCTTGGAAAGCTATTTGGAAGGGGATGGAGAACTACTGGATTTTCTCAAGCTACAGGTTGGAGACCCCTGCCCTGAATGTTTTTACCAGCTTGATTTTGGGTGAATTTCTTGTTTAAATGTTCACCTTTTGTCCTGTAAACCTCTTTTTTTACAATTACATTATTACAATTTGGCATTATCCATTTATCCAGGCTTGGGGATGACACACACTGCACATGAACCTTCTGGCTGGTATTTTGAGACTACTACTGTTGTTGTCTACTGTGGATATTTAAAACCTTGCATGCGTCCACTTGATAGCTGATATTACCTTAGCTGGATGCTGGACGACCTAATTGAAAATCCCACTCTTAATTGTGCCAACACTCGAGGCGAAAATAAGTGGGCGGCAAATGAGGCAAACAAATATTGAGGAACACACTTGGAGATGTAGGGCTGGGTCAAGTCACCTGTGTCCATGCTGCCCATAGAGACCACTCCTCAGGCACTTTGTTTAATTGGTCGGCTAATTAAGGCAATATAAAAACGACATCTGCTCCAAAGTGTGTGTCGAATCCATAAAAGTAATCATTTCTCCAAACATGCGTTCTCCATAAATATAATGATATTGATTCACTTGTGCTGAAAAAATGCCAAAGAAACGTGTGTCTGCATAAGGCCTGTACAGATGTGCTGTTTGATGGATGATTTGTGAGAGCTGTGTTTCATCTGTGTATGTAACTGTGGAGATTGTGTCGAGACTCTGTCCTTGACAAACATTAGAAACTGCAGCTCTGAACAAGTGAACAGCTTTTTTGCTTTTTTTAAAATACATCAGCATTAACCTTGACGCCACCAACCAAGGACTGTGTAAAAATGAGTTTAGCGCTTTTATCTGCAAAAGAGAGGACAAGATTCTGCACTATGATGAGCTTACATAGTTAGACCAAAAAACTTCAGCAATGACATGGTGTAAGTGAAAGTGAAAGTACTTTTCTTGCCTAAGCAACCAGTCCCTTCCACATTCTGTTTGAATCCAGAAGAGACTTGAACCGGACCATAGACGGTGAAAGTCCTCAATCAAAACTTCAATCCAATCCAACAATCTAACCATAGCTGCTAATTTGTAGATTTGTAATTTGTAATTATAAGAAGCCCTGTTTGTTTTTGACATGAACAGACTATGCATCTCTCTGATTGGTTAATCCGCCTGTCAATCATGCCCTCTGAAATCGGGGACAGGATACAGGTCCAGATCCACTCATCTTTGTAAAGCTTTTTCAAAGCCTGTGGTTCTGGCTGTAGTAAATGTTTTCCTATTGTGAGATTGATTTAGGTGCAATGGAAAAAGGATCCAAGAACTGGAAGGTCTTGAAGTTTGAGTCCAAGTCTGGTGCTGTCTTTCCCAATGTTGGAGATGATCTATGCTCTTCAGATGATTTTAGTTTTGTATATAGTCTTTGCTGTATATAATACTGTATATACAACAGAAGTAGTTTTGTCCGTTAACACTTTTCTTTGTTCTTGAAAACCTGCCTGAGACTTCACTTTACACAGTACTGCCTTTCTCCCAGACACATGAAAAATACATGTGCTATCAAGTCTTTAGTCAACGCTGGCAGGGTTATTGAGGTTCTTGTTAAACTCCTGAGGTGTTTGGTCCAGTTGTCAGTTGTGCTTTGTTGATTAATGACTTTTGCATTGATCATAAGGCGAAGTGGACAAAGCGGCGCAAAAAACACGGCTCTCCTGTCACCGCCTATCGACTTACAATCAATAATTTTAGTAATGGATGGGTGGTTATATACAACATTAACTTTGTATGTATCAAGGCTCAGGCAGCAGATGCAAACGCCTGTGCTTTTACATAAGGCTGGGAACAATCTTGCAGTTTTATTGATTAGTTTCCAAGTGCTCTCTTAAGGAATTCAAAGAGGTTTTCCATTGGAGATTACACCTTGGAATTCTTATCAATAATGCACCAAGATGGATGTTGACATAAACTGTTTCTGTCTCGTTGTAGTGTGTGTTCAATTTAAATCCAATGAGCATCTCTTATTCATTCGAGCTGCTTTGAACGTTAAGAGGGAGAGATTTGAGAACAACATTGATTCATTCACTTGTGTTTTTTCTTCTAAATCATTTATAGTAGTTGTGGAATCTTTTGACCTTGTTTGAAGGCTAACCACTTTAACGTATTGTTATTATTTTTTCTTTATTTAAAGGGTAAATCGTCACATTTTTATATAATGCTTTTCCACCTTGAAGGCATTCAAAACACTTTACATCAAGGAATCACTCACCCATTCACGCACATTCACACACTAGTGTACGCAGACACTGGGGGTAAGGTGGGTTAAGTGTCTTGCCCAAGGACACAACTACAACATTCATCTGTGAGAGCTGGAATGACACCCCCAGTTAGTGGATCTGATCTCTTAACCAATGATGTTTATGTCAAGAGCGGGATTCGAACTACCAGCCTTCAGATCAGTTGGCCCTCGACCAACTGAGCTACTGTTGCCCCCCAGAAAAGTGTTCAGTAGCTCTTTTACAGGGGAGTCAGAGGGGACCCTATTGTGCAGGTTTTAGTTTAGAGGGAACTACAAGGCTGTTTTAGGCTGCATTTCTACCTGTCCATGCTTGGTCCTGGTTTGATCTCTGTTCAGTCTTAAAGTAGAGTCAGTCACCAGCTTGGCCCTGTTCTAGGCCTGCTGTTGTTGTGGCTTAGACTTCTGAGTTTAGTCCCAGTTTAGATATAGTGCATGCGTGCTCCCAAAATTGCACAAAAAGGGTGCAATTTGGCAGCACAGGCGGCATATACTGTAGTCTTTCAACGCTGAACCTTCTTCCAGTAAGGCAGGACTACTGACCACTATGTTTTATTTGAATATTTTTAATGTGTTTGTAAAAAGGCATGGTTTACTGTTGCTAAAAATATGCCTGAAAATGAATAACCTTGCTTCCACACAGAGCCAGCAGTCTTGGAGGATGTCTGAATTTGTGCGTTTTCCATATCTATATCTATCTTTTTGTTCCTTTCTTCTCCAGTTACACTCCCCTCTGTCTCCTGCACCAGGGTTCGAAAACCACATTTTGCCAGACAATGAGGTAAGTGTGCGTTAAACTCCCATATTCCCTCAGCTGCCATTCCCGGTCCCTAGACAGCAGCACTTTTTACTCTTAGCTCCAAAAAGAAAAGAATGAAGCAAGCTGGGAGACATCAAACACACAAAAACTAGCAATTTCCAGACAGATCTTATCTTGGTTGAATGAATAGCATGATTTGAATTAACATTTAGTCTTATTTTTTGTTCCAGTCTGCTGTATACTCCACTGTTAACCAATCAAACGGCTCTATAAACGACGATGACAAGGAGCATGATTACAGCAGCATTGCCGAAATCAAAGGCCTTGTCCCTGCCTCTTCCTCTAGTGATCTGTACGCCACTGTCAACGACATCCTGCCTCACCAGCTCCACCTAGAGGAAGACCTCGTTTTGGACAGCAATGACCCAGGCTATGAGACCATCCGCATCCCAAAGACTAGTAGCTCTGATGACGAACATAGGGGCATGATGGGAGCAGACGGATCGGAGGTCACCAGACCAGAGCCAGATTACGAGAGTGTGGGAGAGTTGGGATTGGGCAGAGAAATGTCACGACTTTGAGTTTTCATTGATGCGTTGGTGACCTCTCTCGAGAAGCAGGCAGGACGGTTCAGGACATGGTTCGTAATCAATGTATGTGTCCGATTTACAGCTAGGGTACGTTTATCATATCTACCATTTGACTAATTTAATCAACCAGGGTGAATGTCACTGGTACTGCCATGGCTTGGTGTTAAATGAAGTGCGGTACAGCCACTGGGCATCAATCATGTGGAACAGTGCACTTTGGTTTACCATTATATCTGACAGTACACATCACGGACGCGTGAGCAACTCCTGGGTTGTGAACAAGATCAATTATGTACAATTAAAAGTGGCCTATGATGACCAAACATGGTTTAAGGGTTTGGAGAAGGACACACTCGGTGCCTGAAGATTAAACAGTGCCATATATTCTGATGATAAGCATATTGTAGTATTAGAATAATGAAAGCTGCTCTGCAAATGCAAGTGACTTTGCAACCCCCATTTAACACAGTATAAATAAACCTACAGTCCAAGCATTTACAAATAATAAAAGATTTGAATTTTATATATAATAATATCCTAGTTTCATTGTCTAGTAGTTTATAGCTATATTCTCATATTATTTGCTGACATTAGCATATATATTTTTATTTTATGCTCTTTTAGCTTTTTGGAATAGGCTGTTTATTCTGACGGTATCTAGACTCTCCAGTTTAATGTTGCAAAGTGACTTTTGCTGAAGCAGTTTATCACACATCACCATGGATACAGTGGTTGGTCGGAGGAACAGCTCTGCCCATGAGCTTGTGGTTAACAGTACTTTTACATATGAAAGCTTTTTCGGTGTTTTATAGTCAGCAGTTTCTTTTTGTGAAGTTCATATTTATTTTTTCAAAAAAACATTGTAATTGTAAAAGATTGAGAAGTAATAGAGGTTTTGTAAGTTTTTAGAGTTTTTACAAAAAACGTTATTGAAAGTTGTAAAGGTACACTT